TGGATGCTGGGAATTGAACCTGGGTCCTCTTCAAGTGGAACCAGTGCTCCTAACCGCTGAACAGTCTTTCCAGCCCCAATAAAAAAATTTAAAATACCAAATAATTAATGGCATTTTCTTGATTTTGTGATGAGGGATTGTTTAGATATGGCTGGGAAATGAAATATTCCGTTTGGCTTATTTATAATTGAGTGGGGAAAGGCTGTGTGTTGCATACAGTATGAGTAGAAACACCGAGATGAAGATGAAGAAATACATCCAGTCCTCTTTTTAGAGAATTAAACAAAGCTTCTGGTTGATTATATAAATTGTCCAAGATGTCAAGGCTGAACTAGTCTAAAATCCTTGATTTAAAAAAAAAATATTTCCTGTTCTACATAGTTAGACAATGCCTTATGCTGTTTTGGATGTTTAAAAAATGTAACTGTAGGTTTTTCCTTATATGTAGTATACAAGATCTTTCATTTGTCTAACCCAAATATAAATATAAATTTTTTGCTTTCAATAAGATTTTGGCTTCAGTTTCCAATATCATTGATCAAATATTCCCGTAAACAGAACTGTGATGTTTGAAAATGGGTTGTGCAGACTGCTTTGATTTCTCATGATGTGTCTTTCTATTTTAACACCCCAAATATATACCTTCATTATAATGAATTGAGACCCACTATAAATATATTCTGATCCAAGACTGCCCATGGTAGTCAAATGATGGTGGCCCAATGCCAGATTTGTTCTAGCTCAATGTAATAATATAAGATACTCATTATTTTTTTACTTGTTTTCTTATTAAAAGAGAGAATATGGCTGTCAGAAGAATAAAAATTCCTTGCTAAGAAATCAAAACTGAGTAATTCAGTTGAAAGACTCCATTTTTAACTTGCCTCACTTAGATCATTACTTAGATGATCTTGTGGATGGGTAGTTCACATGCTTGGTATTACTATATCACACTACTGTGCTGGTTAGAATACCATATTAAATGCAGATTTGAGAAACTTATTTTCTTACTAAGGAAATAATACATCCGTGTATATTGCAACATAGACATAATTGAACAAAATCTTGCATTTATCGCATAAATACTAAACTACAGTTGTGTTATTTATTTTCACACAGTATTTTTATCACATCCTTTTTTTCAGTAAATGTCCTAAAGTTGTGATAATAATTTACCCTGGGTATGAATATTTGAGTTAATTAATCATATGCATTTGTGATTAATTAAAGATTCAAGGTCCTCCAGTCATGTTCTGGAAGTCATTCAGACACTGTTTCCCTTGTGAAAATTCAGTCTGCTGTGCTTATGACTTCTCAGTTGTAGAATGGAACATACCAACCTACAGATCTCTGATCTCATTTTCATTCAGTAGTTTATTAGTTATTCTTAGTAAGTATTTGATCAAAACAATGTACTCAGTTTGGGAAGATGGAATGACTTGCAGTTAAAATGGGTGGGTTGTTGTGTGGCACAAGTCTGTGAGCCAACAACTTGAGAGGCTGAGGCAGAAAGATGAGCCTAGGCTATACAGTGAACTCACGTGCTACCATGGACTGCATAGAGAGTACCTGACTGAAACAAAATAAAACAAAAATGAAAGCATTTTCCAAGAGGAAAATGCTTTAATGAGTGAGAGTTCACAGGACAACATGCATCATAAATTTGAATAGTCAAAGAAACAAAAATACAACTTTCAACTGCTTTCCTATAAGGAAACTATGAGTGAATGAACACATAATTATTTTTTCTTCACATAGAGTAATATGAATTGGGTCCTTCATTGTTAACTACTGCAATGTGATTACATAGATTTTTGTTGTTGTTTAAGAAAAGCTAAACAATCATGCCTACAAATGTCTTTCATCTCTATTAACTATTATTCAGTGCACTATTCTGACCTTTGGAAATATTTTACTAGATTTCCCTCCTTTAATTCCAGTAAATATATAGAAAATCTCAATATTTCAATTTGAGCATAAAAGCAGCTAAATAACACAATAATAAATTTTCCATAAGAAATGACTAATATTAATGAAAATGACAGAATTGTCATAATTATGTCTAGAAACATTGGAATGAAAACAATAAAACAGTAAAATGACCATTTCAGGAAAGACATATGGCATTATAGTTTTGAGATCACACAATGAGATATAAGAAAAATGTAGGGGTTATACCAGCATATAAATGAAGTTATAGCTAAAAAAAAATAAGCAAGTTCTAAGTTATCTATAATAAAATTAACCTACATTGTTCTTAAAAGTTGCCCCCTTCATTAATGAATTAAACAGTTTTTACATTGTATGTGAGCAGTTAGTTTGGAATCCATACAGAACTCCCATAAACACAAATGTGGTTGTTCATAGCACTTTACAACCAGTAGACAGTTTCATTGGATAAATCTTCATTAAATGTTTACTTGGTTGAATCAACTTTTCTCCCTATACATCACTCTCATTCTTAATTTTCTTTTGTCATAATCCTCAAAATATATACAATGTTAGTGCTTCACTAGAAAATATCCTAAATAAAAATATAGTTTTCAAAATTATTTGAAATTCTTAAAATTAAAAAATAGTGTTTGAAAACACTACTTCGTCAGTATTTTAATAGTATTTATTTATTTTTATTTTATGTGTATGAATGTTATGCCCTCATGTCATACAATCACCATGGAGCACAGAAGAGGGCATCAGATCCCCTGGAACTGGAGTCACAAATGATTGTTAACCATCATGTAGGTGCTGGGATTCAAACCTTGGTCTTCTGTAAGAACAGCCAGTGTGCTTAACCACTGAGTCATCTTTCCAGTCCCAACCTTGCCAGTTTTCTGATAAATGTGGTTGTGTGTGTGTGTGTGTGTGTGTGTGTGTGTGTGTGTGTGTGTGTGTATCTGTGTCTGTGTGTCTGTTTGTGTGCTTATTTACATATGAAAGATTTGAGGATAAATTTCACTAATTTAGAGTTCTTCCAATAAAGGTTGGCAATGTCTTATTAAATTAAAAATAAGTTATCATTTTTATTCTCAGAAATAATTTCCTCATATAGTTTTTTACTAATCAAATTTAGTCAAGTTAAAAAAAGGAACTGAATGAAGGACAATCTGATCATTTTGAAATATATAAGATTCTTCCATTTTTCCACATTTTAATCTTTTCCAAGGAGTTTGGCAGGAATATATGCATTTTCCTGTCTGTCTAGAGGAGAAGAAAGCCCTGATGAAAACATATCATTACAGGAGCGTGAAATTTACAGGATACTCTTGTGACAACTGCCTAGGTATCTTAACTTTAAGAATTCACAATGATTAGGTTATTATTGATTGTGAGGAATTAAAGTAGCTGTATCGCATTGGCAAGAGCTGACCTGAGAGAATGTTGACAGAATTGAAAATAAGATCCTCATTTTTGCTTGACATAGTGTAAAACATGAAAGCATCCATGGATTTGTTCAATTGACCTTGATAGATGCTTCCAATCATTGTTTCCTTGTTTTTTCCCTTGGTTGTATCAAGGCCAAGGTCCACCAGATGTCAGTACAATATAAATAATCCAAATTCTTTTATTGAAAAACTAAGTACAGAAGAAAAATAATGACGCTACTGCAAAAATAGCCATTTCATTGGATTTAAAAATAATTACCTATACTAAATGGAAGGGGAGGTTATAAAACTTGTCAATATAGACTGTAATATGATTTTTAAATGATTTATTTTTAATAGGTCCTTGTAGCATTAGTGTAGCCTGATAAAGCTGTTCTTGTTTTCTCCTTCTGACAGTTTAGTTGTCATTCAGGTACAGTATTTGCCAGATGATTTTTGTATTCTCTCATGGTTTACTCATTAACATTTCCACATTACGATTTTCTCCTGATTATTTTTCTACTCAAATGAAGGAGGCAAATGATGAGAGCTGTGTGTTCCCTGACATATTTGTTTACTTGATCGCAGCTAAACTAAAGGTTAATGTGGGCAGCACCTGCTGGCAATGAGTCGAATACTTTATATTAAGGCATGCCAATAGCACTTTAAAAATATTTTTGAAAATAGAATTTGTATTGTTAGTGTAAAAAGTTTCCATGTTACTTCATTAATGTGAATACACACACAGGCACAGGCACTCTCAAAGAAAGCATTGGAGCAGATTCCATTTGATGCTTGCCTTTGTCTCCATTTACCTCAGGGTACTTTGCTTGTGGCCAGGACTTGGGATTGGCTGCTGCTGGGTAACAGCTGGAAACTCTTTTCCAATTCACATTAAGTTGCTTCTTTCCAATTTTCAGTTCTCCATGGAGCTCTCCACTTTTCCAAGTTGAATCCAAGTATCTTATTATGCTACTGTGATACGGAGTGGCAGAACTAAAAGACAAGATGACATGAAACAGAAAGAGTAGCATCACTCTTCAGGAACACAGCTCTCCATATAAGATGAGGGAACATGAGAATCTTGCCACAGGTAGCATCTTCAGCTGCTACTTTAATTCCTGCATAATTTTCCTTGTTCTGGCCATGTTGCAACTTTTACTTTGTATCGGAATCATTTTTCATGAGGTCTTTGTGCATACTAACTTTGACTTTATCTTTTCACATTGAACATTTTTTTTTATTTTATCAGTCTGCTTTTCATGCATGATCCCTGTATTCTAAGAAATCATAGGAAGTGAAGTGAGGAAGAGTCCATACTGGAGCGGTTGAAATATTATTCCATATGAAAAGTACTCATCCTGCAAATTATAAATGGCTCTGGTGCTCCTGACAGGACAATACAAGTTGGGCGGTTCCACACAGTCCAGAAAACCCAGGGCTCAGACCCCTGACTGAAGGCAATCTGGATGCCACTAGGTATACCTGACAAATCAGGGCTGGATTAACAACTTCTAAACAAAATATTGACAAATAATATTTATAGTTATATAATAAATCTAGAAAGATAATAATTTATTTGATGATTTTTATTATATGACAATCTAAATAGATATCCAAAGTAAATCAAAGCCCAGCGTTCATTGAAAATCATGCCTGGACTATGTCGTGGATTGGGTTGAGATTCAGCACCCAAGGCCACCAGGAGCCTCAGCTCACCGCCCACTGCCAAGGTGTGGGAGGGTGAAACCTAGGCCCCCAAAAGCACCTTCCGCTGCCCTTCTCGGTCGTTGCCTCTGGCCTTGGTTCATCAATGTGACTGAATATTCACTTGTGGATTTAAAAGCCATATCAAATAAAAACAGATTACAGTTCTTGTCAAATATGGCTACTGTGTTCTGGTGACAAGTGACCTAAAGACACCATGTTTCCATACTCCTCCACCATGTCACTCCTGGCTGCTTTCTTGGCTGTGTTTTCCTTTATTTTGCTTTGGTTTTTGGTTAATTTTGATTCTTTAATTCTGATGTTATCATAGTTGAAGCAGCATAGTTTAGGTGGTTATATCTTTCTCCTTTGCCTTATTTCTTTTCTTCCTTTACTTAGGGCCACATGCCCTTCCAATGAAAATTTAGCAAATCTTACACACACTAAATATTCTCTAACTTGGATTAAACAAAATTAAATTCATTGAACTTAATGAATAGAGAATACACTGGAAAGGAGTAAATTGTAAAATTAAAACATTAACTGTTGTTGAAAATATCTGTGTAAACAAAATTAAATAACACTAAAATCTGTATGTTACAAAACTTGAAAGAAATTATTAAAGTTGGCCATTGGCTGTTAAATATGATATATATCTAAAGAGTTAATAGCAACAGGTTGCTATGTATTCTGACAATGCTAATGGTACTGTGGATCAGTTGCAGCTTGTAAATATCATACATCTTAGTGTTCTATGCTGCTTGAGAGAATGAAGTCATTGAAAAACATTGAATATGCTTCCACTAATAATCTGTCACAATAGGCAAAAAATCAAAATATATTGATTTATTTCAATGTATACATGTATGATTGGTATTACTATCATGTAATGCATTGGAATAACATGATAAAATTGAGATAAATGCTTACATTGCTTGTCCTTGTTAAACTCAGTGAAGCACAGGTGTACGAACACACAAACACAAACACAAATAGGCATAGATTCTAGAAGGAGATTTTGGGGGATAGTGGGTATGGAACTGAGTGGTAGCGAGACAGTTGAAGGTGAAAATGAGAATTTTCATTATGTATTTAATTGTGTGAAATTGTCTAAGAACAAATTTAATTAGTTAGAAAAGGAAATAAAGTCAGGTGAGTATTATGTGATGAAAGAACAAGATGAGGCACTCTGATACGAAGTCCCAAAAATCTTTAAGTTCTTTATTGTTTAGACTAATTGGTAGTCATTTTAGTTCCATTTAAACTCCATTAGTTATACAATTTTAATATATATAATATCATATAAAATATATAACTTTATATTTAAATACAAAATTATTTTGGAAGTTTTGTTTCAATGTCAGATATATAAATCATTCTGTAGATACAAAGACTTAATAATGGGTAAGAGTAAGGAATTAAATTTCAGAAATTCTTTTGACTAAGCTTAGAATGTAATGTTCTATGTACCAGTAGCTACAACTGAGTGAAGGTTACAGTATTATTTTTATGAACTTTTCTTTGACTATAACAAAGAGGGCCTTTGAAAATAATAAAGAAATAGCACATACTTAGAAGGTGGAATTCAGGATTCGAAGCTAGAATATCTAAGGATGTATTCCTAAATGTATGTGTGTTTTGTGTGTGTTTCATATATTTATATATTCTACAGCAAATATATGCCTATATGTATATGCACACATGCTTAGTTAAAATATTTATTCTATATGTATTTTTGAGAAGGAAGAATTTTTCCTTTTATTTTAAATATATGACACTCAAAAATGTTTTTAATAAAGTTCATTTTTATGTGCATTTTATATGAAAGATAAAGTTTTCATGTATCATAATATGTTTCCACAAAGAATAGCTTAGCCTCCAACTAGAGAAACACATAGAGGAAATAAATGAGTCCAGTGGCTGTGAAAGTACTCAGTACTTTCTGGATTTCTTGATGCATTGGATCATTCCTTGAATCTGTTCTTTGTTGGATTATATGCTTTGTCAGACTGGTATAAACTTTCAGATCTTAAGAAGCACTTTTTTGAGACCAAATGTTTTCCTGATATACCTTTCTCTAAAGGAAAAACCAGTAAGCGAACTTTAGCATATCTTGAAATCATCAAGGAAATATTTTCCATTGTGAAAAGAAGCAGCTCTCTGGATCATGCACTAATTTGTATCTGGCTTAATGTAATGGGAATAATAAAGAGAAACAAATGGTGAAAATAATTTCTAGCCCACATGTATATGCTAATGATCACTCAGGAAAATACACAATAAATCAATCAATAAAAACAAAATCAAAAGGCAAACAACTAGTGGATTTACAGTGTTGTACTTGTAGTGGCAGAAGCCTAAGCCATTGAAAGTTTGACCCTTCCCTTTACTCAGCAGGGACACATAATTACAGTAGCTACAATTACAGTGAAATGGTTCAGCTCCTGGGAACCGAATAAAAAGAGCAGCTCTGACCTTTAAATATGTGGTGAACATATGAGTAGTGGTTCATCTCAACACTTGAGGTTTAGAAATAATACTAGTTCATTTAAAAATATTGCATGTATCCTGATTGAGTGATCATTTATAACTAATAAGTAAAAAGTTCAAACAGACTTTTCATCATATGCTCCATGGAGTCTTGAAAAGAGCTCGACGTAGTTGAAAATAGTATAGAAAGGTATTAATCTTGTTTACACACCACATATTCATTCTTTTAAAGATTTATTTTCATTTTGTGAGTATGAGCATTTTGACTGTATGTACGTATGTTTGCCTGGTGCCTGCAGAGTCTAAAAAGAGTGTCAAATTCCTTGGAACTAGAGTTTCAGATAGCTGCCAGCTGCCATATAGGCAGGTGCTGGGAACAGAACCTGGGACCTTGGCAAGAGAACTCATTGACCTGAAACACTGTACCCTCTCACTCAATTATCATCTTAATGCAAAGTGACCAGTTCTTTTTTTTCTAACACAAAGAGACCTAGAAGACAGGATACAAGGCACTGTCTACAGTCTAGCTGTTTTCTCCATAAATGTATGTTTCATCACATTTTTGAAATTTATAAAGGCAAAAAATCACACATTACTTTGTCCAAAATCATGTTCACATCTCTTTTTAATTAATTAGCTAATTTTTTATGTGTGTGTTTTGTCTGCAGGTATGTAAATGCACCCATGATGTACAATGCCTGCAGAGGTGGATCCATGGGATTATACACACTCTGTGGTCTCTGCATGCATTAAGAGTGAACATGGTGCACTTACACACATGCAGGCAAAACACTTGTCCACATAAAATTAAAAAAAAATAGAAACAAAAAAAGGTAACTTAAGCCAGACATGGTTGTATATGCCTTTATCCCAGCACCTAGGAGGCAGAAGCAGGTGGATCTCTGTGAGGTAGAGGTCACTCTGGTCTATATAGTATATTCCAGGCTACAAAGTGACCTTCTTAGTATTTTAAAAGAAACTTATGAAAGCTGACAACTCTGAAATCAGAAATTGATGATGGGAGAAAAGTATGGCTATGGCTACACATTCTGTTAATACTTACTAGCTCACTATGTCCTAAAATTTTGAAGTTCTTATGATGATAGTACATACTCAATAGAGACATTAGAAATCAAGAGATTCATAAAAATAGCTGAGACGTGCAGCACTAAATGGAGAGATAGAGCAACAGAGTCACTTAGAGAGAGCATAACTGTGAAGAAAACAAAAAGACTCCATTGTTTCTACTCTGAAAAAATAGATTAATTTAAGTACTTGGGGCTTCCATGCTGTGCAGTCTCCCAAATTTCATATGTAAAGCCTCTCATCTGCTCTGCTTTTAAATGTATATTTTATTGAGTTTTTGTGCATTTCGTATAAACAAATTTAGACCCTCCTCCCCTCTCTGCAACACCCCTCCCACCAGATTTCATGTATTCTCTCATTTATGCTCAGGCATATCTGGTCAAATATTTATACTCAGATGTCCTTCAGTGCAATTTCACCCACAGGAGCCTAGTCAACCTATTTAGAGTCAGTCTCTTAAAGAAGATCAACACATGGCTGGAGAGATGGCTCATCGGTTAAGAACACTGAATGTTCTTGCAGAAGACCTGAGTTCTAATGCCAGCATCTACATGGTAGCTAACAACTGTCTGTAACTCCAGTTCTAGGGGATCTGATGCCCTCTTCTGACCTCCACAGGCATTACACTACACGGGTGTACTTACATACATGCAGGATACACACATACACATAAAATAAAAATAATAAATAAATTAGCCAAAAAAAAAAAAAAAAGCTCAACTTTCCCTCACCCCACAGTAATCACTTGCCAATAGTTCTTTGACTAAGGTTGGGGCCTGCTGCCAATTTCCTAGTTTCATGCTGTTTTTTTGTCTGACTGAGTCGGCATAGGTTTTGTGCATGCTGTCACCATTGTCACCAAGTCCACATGAGCAAACCCAGAGGCCAGCTTCCTCATGTTCATGAGCAAACCCTGGCTCTTAAATCTTTCTGTCCCCCCTTCTGCAAGGATTCCTGTGCAATGAGTGGATGAAGTTTAGCATAGGAGTCCTATCTCTCCAGGGACATTTCTTCTGAAGTCTTTTATTCTCTAAAACTTAGGCAGTTGTGACTTTCTGTGTGCATCACACTCTTTTGTATAAGGAATCTTCACTGGTGAGAGTTTGGTGATATATTAGAGAGAATACTAATTTATCTCTTATCTCTCATCTACTCTTAAGGTGATTATTATATTTGAAATGAAGGTTTTAAAGTGGTATGTAAGTCTAAATGAAGTCCTTAGTATGAGCCTGATCAAGTCAGTTTCGTGTCCTTATATGATGGCAAAATTTGGAATAGGAGACAGATCCCGGGATTGCTTAAACATAGAGGAGTTACCTGGTGGGAAGAAGAGTGACACATTCCAAATTAAGAAAAGCCAACATGAAAGAAACCCAACCCGCTGTCACAGGGTCTTACTATATAACTCTGCCAACCTCAATTTTTCCATTTCACTGTTTCAACAGCCTAGGTGTGAGATTAGAGTGTAATCACCATGTCCCAC